ATCCTTGGCCAGTTAGAAATACAGTCAGAAACACATTCAGTATCCCAGGCTTAAGAACATACCCAAGTTTTTAGGGCTTTACAGAAGGCTCACAGGATTGGGGCCATTCTTCTCTTCAAAGGAAGGGCGTTCCATAGACCAGGGGCCACTGCAGAAAATGCCTGTCTTCTAATCCCTTTCGCTCATGGGATTTGGAACATGTCTATTCTGCTAGGTTGGGTCGAATGGGTAGAGCTGAAAAAGGGCAAATCCCTCAGGGGTTTACTACATATTAGTATTACATATTAGTTCAGTATTTTATTAGTTATTTTATATTGCTCTTCCACGTCTGATTGATTTCTTGGAACCCGTTGTTTTCAGATATTGTAACAGTTAGCCGTAGGACTTTAGATTAATGGCTCCCGAGATGTGATTATTGCTGCTTCGTTGATCAAAGTCCAGTGTCAGCATTCCAGCAAATCTCCATTCCAATCAGTAACTCCGAGACAACTATAGGTCAAAAGTACCTTTATTAGAACAGCAACTGGCACATCTGTGGAATCCCAAATCTAAAAGTTTTCAGGCTTCCCACGATTTCCCAAACTACAAATCCATCCCCACTTGGCTGTCATCGCATCACATGGCCCAATCATGAGCCGTCCAAACATAAGATCCTTATTCCATCCTGCGCCATGCTCAATGAGCTTGAACTAACAAAAGAATTTTATTTTGTCTACTAAGAGCTACTCAATTGAAATCACCCCCCCTCCCGCATTCTCAGGCTATGTGGTAGCGTGGAATATGGCTTCCAAAGCTGACATTCAGAATGGAATTTCCGATTCTTTGCGATGTTGTGGATACTGCCTTTGTCTGATCCTTAAACAATGTTGAGACTCGAAAGGAAATCATGAGATACTTAAATTCCTTAATTTGTCACATACTCCATGCCATCAGTGTTTCAGGGGTGATGGCATGGCACACTTTCTAGAAAATTAGAAATGTTATACATAAAACATTTAGTTTTGGCATAGTGGATACTGAGCCTACTTTTATACAAGAGGGTTCTTGTCTTCTTCCTGAGGACATAAAAAGGAGGGTTGTGCCATCTGTACGCAAGAGATGTGTAAAATGTTCTAACAAGACAAGAGTCAGTTACATTTGGGACACCAAGGTCTCTGCTGAACAGCTTCATACCATCAGGAATTTCTTCCGAATGTTTACTCAACATCCTTTCCATAATTTGAACTTTTGTAGTTTACAGCTTTGCTAAAGCTCTCTGGACTTGTTCTCTTTTATCAAGAGCCTTTTAAAAAGTGCACATCTAGAAAGGCACAAGTCCAAATGAGATCTGATGAGAAAGTGATAACATAAATTCTCATAATTTGGTGTCTATACTTTTGCTGGCACATTAGAACCACCCAGTTGCATTAGATATTTTAAAATGGGATTGCCCTGCTCACTTATTCTGTGGGCTTATTCCTGGGCACAATTCCAAGTCGTTATTACCTATAAAACTTTATGTGGCCTAGGGTAAGACTCCGTGCAGGACCTTTAATTGTTTCTGTTCCTCCTATAGAACTGACAGGGCATGCTCCTGATCCCTCCCGTCGAGCAATGTCATTTTCTTGGACTCAGGAGTCTTGCCTGACTCCATGCCAAACAGCACCCGCCCCCCCCCCGCCAAGACTTTCCTTGAGTCACGCTCAGCTCTTGGTGACAACATGGATATGGCTGTTTTGGACGACTCCTTCTGATATGTTTTTTCAGTTTCCCGGGATTAGCTGAACTTGCTTATTTTTCTTCTGAGTTCAGTTACAGCTGGCTAGGTGCTGCCACCTGCTGAGTCAGGTAGCCCTCTGAAAGCAAATATTCCTCTGTCTTTCGAGTAGAAGTATAACTGCAGAGTCAATTAGCTCTTTTTGGTGGGTAGAACATCCAAGTTAAAGACAAAGCTAAGCTAAAGATTTTTCAGAAGTTTGAGTAGCTACAAGAAGGTTGGTCACGATCAGTACTTTCAACAAATTGACTTACAGTAATACCTTGAAATCCCAAAATATAATTGGGACAAGTATATTGCAGTACTGTACAAAAGGAACCTTTTATTAAGGCAGACTCAGATTGTAAACCACACTGGAACAGTTGGCACTGCTATTAATATTATTTCAATATAATTAATATACTTTAAATAAAAATATAATATTAATTTGAAGGTTTCCATTTAAATAGCATTGTATATAATTTTGAAATGAAATTGGGAAAAGTTCTAGACTAAGAACCAAATTTATTAATATCTATTTTGGTAAAATTATCAATGCTTTTCATAATCAAAATGTTTAATTTTTGTCTTTCAATTTTGTTATAATCATGCTTTGTTCAGAAACTATCCCACCAGATTCAGCACCCATTCATTCTCTCATTTTGACCCACCCATTTCTGAAGTATCCCATCCCATGATCACCATTCTGTGAGAACTGTAGGCTCCTCCTTTCAAACACACTCATACTTTCTTATGCATACAGTTAGTTGAATTATGACAGCGACTGGGATTACAGTTGCTAAGCAGTGCAGTTGTAAAACACAACACCATGTGATCACACCCTAGTTACCCTCATAACCTGAAGATGTATGGGTCAGTAAGTGGAAGCAGCAGGAATCCCAGGCAAGGGATGCGATGAGGGGTGAAGGAGGACCTGGGTGGGCTTGAGAAGCCTGGTGCAGGCTGCCCATGAATGCAGGGAGGCTGATTCGGGGAGAGGGGGATGGTGTGGCACGTGTAGGAAGGCTGGAGGGGTGGATATAAGTATAGAAAGGCCAAAGGGCGGATAGTATGGCCCAAGCAGAGGAAAGCGGGGGATGGATAGTGCGATGCAGGATGCGTGCAGAAAAGCTAGAAGATGGGTAGCATGGTGCAGACTCAGGAAGGATGAGGGATAGATAGTGGGTGTATTGTGAGAACAGATAGGTGAAAGGATGGATGGTAGAGTGTGAGTGTGAGAAGGCCAGGTACGGATGGGGGAGGAGAATGACTTACCAAAGCAATTTATAATCTTCCTGGAACTAAAGAGAAATTGCTTGTCAGTAAGGACAATCAGAGGAACAGCTTGACTTACGGAGGTCTTTAAGAAATTATCTGGGATAGTATAAGGACTTCTGCCTTTTGCAGGGTGTTTGATCTAAAGTACTCCAAGGTCCCCTCCAGCTCTATGATTCTATGACTGCAGAGGTGCTGGGACATCTGGAATTTCAAGGACTGGTCACAAGTACCATTTGTACAGCGCTGTCGATCAGGGGTCAACCTGGAGACGCATTTCTAGGTGGATTTCGGCTGAGTCAAGGAATAGAGCTAGCTGGTCTGAGTCCCCATCAAATTTCCCCCTAAACTGGGGCAGTTTGTTGAGTATTGCTCCTCCCTCCTCCTGTCTCCCTCTGTAACTTGAGGTGGCTGGCCTTCTTCCCCGGCTCTACTTCGCACAGGAGGAGGAGGAGGAGGCTCCCTGCTGCACGGGGGAGGCACTGTCTGCAGCTTCAAATTCCTTTTTCTTCTGGTGAGTGAAGAAGGAGGGCTGTGGTCTTACCTGCTTCTCCTCGCTTCAAAGAGCTCTGTAAAAACTCCCCTCTGTTTTGGGCGGCGTGACGGGCCATCACCCTGAATGGCGGCCCGGTCAAAAATTCCTCCCTCAGCTGCTCTAGGATCTCCCCAGGGATTCTGTCAGGGGCTTTTGGGCCCCGGCCTGTGCCCAGTCCCACATCTAATCCACTCTTCCAAGCTCGCTCAGGGGCCTCCCTCCCTTCCTTTCTGGGCATTTGGGTTGGGGAAATCAACTTCAGCTGCTTTAGGGATTTTCTTCCGCCAATACTCATCCCTTCTTGCTTCGCTTTTGGGGGTTGCACCCCAGCTGTAATTATGCTGTCAGCTTCTGGCTGGAGACCAGGCTTCTGGCTTTTAAAAATGTTGGGTTAGGAAGTGTTGTGCTATTGTGGAAATTTAATTATTGTGTTTAGTATGTTGATTTCCAGGTTGCATTCTGTTTGGATTGTATTGTGTAGTTTTTATTGTGTACATTACCCATAGTCACTGTGTTGGGAAATTAAAAATATTATAAACAACAACCCATTGCACATTAAAATTATATATTATTAATATTGTATTCATTGGAATATATTTCAAATATGTTAAGTACTAGGTACATGTGTACATATTAGTCACCTAGAAATTTAGAATTTTTTAGCATTGAACTTGAACCAATGTAAGTAAGATCTGTGATATTGTAAACCTCTTGTGATGATCAAGATAAGGTTTGAAAAAAAACTTCTACCCCTTTTTCATTTTGGCAAAAGCTTTTACCAGTTCTCAAAATAAATTGCTTTTCAAAAGAGTTTGAAAATAAACATATGAAATATATGTCAATATCATTATCATGTTTTACTGTATTTCCCCCAAAACAAGATCTATCTATCTTCGTCTAATTTTAAGCACATGCCTAATATAAAACGTAGGATCAAAAGGTTAAAAGGACAGTTGTCTACTGATGATGTATGTATGTATATATGTATGTATATATTTTCAGTGGGATTTATGGCTGTATAATTAAATAAAATGGAACTTTAAAACTCTAATTAACCAAATCCTTTATGAAACAATTCACACAAAAAATATTCTCTGTGTTAAAATATTGTTTTTGGTGAGTTAGTCTTTCAAATAGTTTATTGTCAAATAGAATATATCTATTGAAATAATAGTTTTTTCTTCTACTTACAGTAACTGAATGGTCAGTTTACATCATAAAGGAATAAATAAATCAGTGGTTTACAGTTTATACTGTATATCAGATTGAAGATTCTCACAACTGATAATAGACGTGGATGGTCAATGATAAAGATAACAACTTTATGACTAATTTTAGGAGAAAATGGAACCTATGATTGATACTTGATACCAAATGGAAAACTGTTTTTAAAGATGCTTGTGTTAAATAAGTTTCATTTTACTATTTTTTTTTCTCCTCACTGATTTTTTTTAGTTGATTTGGAACATTTACGGACAGTAAAAATTGATAAACATCTTCAATTTTGCCAGGAAAGTCATTCTAGCAGTCATTTTGTATCAGCAAAGACAGGCGATTCTGTAAGTATTATGAATAGTGTTATTTTAACAATGACTTTAAGATATTTTTCTTGTGATAAGTGTGTTTGTTATCAAAGCAGATCTTTGGATTGATATTAACTTGTGTATGCGTATATATATTTTTCTTAAGTTTTCGCAGGTACTTACATGTATGGCATTCAGCTTTGTTCGGGTATTTTCCCATGTCATTGTAGTTGTGCTTTTAAAGTTGTAGCAACGTTTCAGCAGAATCTCATCTGCCATCAGAAGCCTGATGATGGCAGATGAGATTCTGCCAAAACGTTGCTACAACTTTAAAAGCACAGCTACAATGACGTGGGAAAATACCCGAACAAAGCTGAATGCCATATATATAATATAATATAATATAATATAATATAATATAATATAATATAATGTAATAATACAATACAATACAATACAATACAATATAATATAATATAATATAATATAATATATAATATACAATATACACAATTGGATAGTTCAATTTTTAAAAAATAAATTTAGAAACATTTCTAAACTTCTGTTTACAAGTTTGCAATTATTGGGTACTAAAAAACAAATTTCAACAACAGTAGAATCAGGCTGCAGCCTATCTCTGTGTATCTGTGTCTACAGTGCATTCAGAAAGTATTCAGACCTCCTTCATTTTTGTCAATTTTGTTATGCTGCAGCCTGATTCTACAGTTGTTGAAATTCGGGTTTTTTCCTGATTAATCTACACTCAGTACCTCATAATGACAAAGAGAAAACAGAAATTTAGAAATGTCTGTAAATTTATTTAAAAAAACCCTGAAATATCACATTGGCATAAGTATTCAGATCCTTCACGCAGTAGTTAGTTGAAGCAACTTTTGCAGCAATTACAGCCTTGAGTCTTTTTGGTATGATGCAACAAGCTTTGCGCACCTGGATTGGGGGATTTTCTGCCATTCTTCCTTGCAAATCCTCTCAAGCTTAGTCAGGTTGGTTGGTGACTGTCGATGGGCAGTGATTTCAGGTGGAAAGTGAATATTCAGTCCAATCTGAGATTGTGAGTGCTGTGGAAGAGGTTTTCATGGAGGATATCCCTGTACTTTGCGCCATTCAGGTTTCCCTCGACATCAGAGCAGTTTCCCAGTCCTTGCTGCTGAAAAACATGCTTCACTATTGGGATGATATTGGGCAGGTGATGAGCAGGGCCTAGTTTCCTCCAGACATAACATTTAATTTTGAGGCCAAACAGTTCAATCTCTTGCTTTCATCAGACCAGAGAATTTTGTTCCTCACAGTCTGAGAGTCCTTCAGATGTTTTTCTCCAAACTCCAAGCGGGCTTTCATGTGTTTTGCACTGGGGAGAGGCTTTCGTCTAGCCACTCTGTCATAAAACAGAAACTGCCAGAGGACTGGAAAAGAGTTGATCTTCACACACACAAAAAAGGTGGGGGGGAATAGATCCAGGAAACTACAGACCTGTCAGCCTGACCTCAATACCAGGGAAGATTCTGAAAAAGATAGTCAAGCAATGAATCAGTGAACACCTAGAAGCAAACAAAGTAATAATCAAAAGCCAACATGGGTTTGTCAAAAAACAGATCATGCCAGACAAATCTTATTGCATTCTTTGACAAAGTAACAAAATTAGTGGACCAGAGGAATGCTGTCAATATAATTTACAAGGACTTCAGTAAGGCATTTGATAAAATAGACCATAATCTACTACTTGATAAGATAGAAAAATGTGGGTTAGACAACATCACCACCAGATGGATTCATAACTGGGTGACCAACTGTACTCAACAATGGAACTGCATCTACATGGAGGGAAGTATGCAGTGGGGTACCCCAAGACTCTGTTTTAGGCCCACTACTCTTCAACATCTTCATCAATTATTTGGAAGAGGGGATAGATGGGGAACTCATCAAATTTGCAGACAGCACCAAGCTTAGCAGGAATAGTCAACACTCCAGAAGATACGCTTAAGATACAGAAGGATCTTGATAGATTTGAACATTGGGTGCTATCTAACAAAATAAAATTCAGTGGTGAAAAAAGTAAGGTTCTACATTTAGGCAAGAAAAATAAAATGCACAGGTATAGTATATGTGGTACCTTGCTCAATAGTAGTAACTGTGAGAGGGATCCTGGAGTCCTCATGGACTATCATTTAAATATGAGCCAGCAGTGTGCACAAAAAAGCCAACACAGTCCTAGGCCGCATAAACAGAGGGATAGAATCAAGATCACGTGAAGATCACTTACACCACAATAATGCCTTGGTAAGGCCACACCTGGAATCCTGCATTCGGTTTTGGTTGCCACAATGTAAAAAAGATGTTGAGACTAGAAAGAGTGCAGAGAAAAGGAACAAAGATGATTAGGGGACTAGAGGTTAAAACATATAAAGAAGGGTTGCTAGAACCGGGTATGTCTAGTTTTATGAAAAGAAGGACTAGGGGTGACATGATAGCAGTGTTCCAATGTATCAGGGGCTGCCCCAAAGAAGAGGGAGTCAAGCTATTCTCCAAAGCACCTGAAGGCAGGATAAGAAGCAGTGGGTGGAAATTAATCAAGGAGAGAAACAACTTGCCTCCAGGAGTTGTAAATGCTCCATCACTGGAAGTTTTAAGAAGAGATTGGATAACCATTTGTCTGAAATAGTATAGGTTTTCCTGGGGTTGGACTAGAAGATCTCCAAGGTCCCTTCCAACTCTCTTATTCTATTCTATTCTAAAGCCCAGATGGTGGAAGTGATGGTTTTTCTTCTGGAATTCTGTTCCATCTCCACACAGGATCTCTGGAGGTCAGTCAGAATGACCATCAGGTTCTCGGTCACCTCTCTTGCTAAGGCCCTTCTCCCCAGATTGCTCAGTTTGACCTGGCAACCAGCTCTTGGAAAAATCCTGGTTGTGCCAAACTTCTTCCATTTGAGAATTATGGAGGCCAATATGCTCTAAGGAACCTTGAGTGCAACAGAAATTTTATTGTGACCTTCCCCAGATCTGTGCCTTACAATAATCCTGTCTTTGAGCTCCTTTGATCTCATGGCGTTTGCTCTGCTACATCAGTATGTATTATCAGTTGTGAGGCCTTCTATAGAGAGGTGTGTGCCTTTCCAAATCATGTCCAATCAATTTAATTTACTGCAGGAGGACTCCAATCAAGGTGTAGAAACATGTGAGCCATTGATCAGGAGAAATGGGAGGCACTGGAGCTAAATTTCAAGTGTTGTTGCAAAGGGTTTGAATGCTTATGCCAATGGGATATTTCGGTTTGTTCTTTTTAATAAATTTACAGACATTTCTAAACTTCTGTGTTCACTTTGTCGTTATGGGGTGCTGAGTGTAGATTAATAAAAAATGAATTTCAACAACTAGAATTAGACTTACAGCATAACAAAATTGATAAAAGTGAAGAGTGTCAGAATACTTTCTGAATGCATTGTATGTGTGCGTACGTGAAACTTTTATACCACCTCTTACAATATTAGGGAACACAGCATCAACAGTTGAGACCTTTCGGTTTCTGGGTTCTATAATCTCCCAGGATTTGAAATGGACACCTAATTTTAGAACCATCATTAAAAAGGCACAACAAAGAATGTTCTTCCTGCATCAACTCAGAGAGCTAAGACTGCCCAAGGATCTACTGATACAGTTCTATAGAGGAATTATTATGTCTATCATTTGTACCTCAATAACTGTCTGGTTCAGCAGAGAGACCCAACAGGACAGGCATAGACTTCAACTGATGTTAGGACTGCAGAAAAAAACAATTGCAACCAGCCTGCCTTCCATTAAGGATCTGTATACTGCACGAACCAGAAAGAGGGCTGAAAAAATATCTACAGATTCCTCACATCCTGGACATAATCTATTTATGTCACAGTTTTAGGCCATTCCATGCCAAAACAATAAGACATAAAGATAGTTTTTCTCTCATGCCATCACTCTGCTGAACAGTTAATTCCCACACCACTGTCTCATTTCTGATCTTTCCCACTATCTTCTACTATTGGTTTCTTACGATTTATCAGTCGTTTGTAACTTATGATTAATGATTGTAACTATGATTGTGACCTATTACTTGCTGCTTATGTGTACACTGTGAGCTTATTCACCAGAGAGAAATTCCTTATGTGTCCAACCACACTTGGCCAATAAAGAATTCTATTCTATTCTATTCTATTCTATTCTATTCTATTCTATTCTATTCTATTCTATTCTATTCTATTCCATTCCATTCCATTCCATTCCATTCCATTCCACTCCACTCCACTCCATTCCATTCCATTCCACTCCACTCCACTCCACTCCATTCCACTCCACTCCACTCCACTCCGCCATCCCTACCTGGGTCCCATGAATTAAAGTGCTATCTGTTGGGTCCCAAGAAGTGGGTCTTCTCAAGGTCACTTTACAACCACAATGGGGAGAGCAAGAATTGGGATTTTTAAGTGAGGTGATTGTGTGGACACCTTGTTTAACAATTGCCATGACTTGTGACGGTAATGGGAAGGCTCCATTATGGTAAGCCAAGGACTATGAGTAATATTAATTCAAAGACTTAGTCAAAACCTGAAAAACAACTGAGCAAAAATTCAAAGACTCAATTAAAGCCTGGAAAACAACTGAGCAAGAATTTACTGCCTCAAAATTATCAAGGGAGAATAAGGATTGGTGGGGTCCTGTTGGTTATTTTCTCATATTAATCATTCAGCCCAACCAACTAACACTCTTGTCATTCCATTCCACCTTAATGATCCAAGAGGACCCGGAGTCCAACAAACAGCAGTAGAACTAACAGCACAGATAATCCTATTTATATTTAATAAAGTAATATAGCAAGTTATCTGACAGAGGTACTTTAGAAACAGATCTGTAAATATAGTAAAGTTGTCCTGATTTCTTGAAAGATACATTCCTTGATATTTTATAGGGTTTTTAAATAACAAATGCACGTGTCCAGCTTTTCTATGCATTGTTTGTATAGAAAATGTGCAAAATACTGTGAGGCTCAATAAAATATCAGTTTATAATTCAGATATATATTCTAAATAAACTAATAAAAGCAAATATTCTTATAAATTTAGCATAGATTTGGCTAAAAAATTATTGCAGAAATATATACAGATAATTTCCCCATCTTGTCTCAGTTTGTCATTCAAAAGTGATTTTTGCTATGTTGAAAATACTTTAAGATATCTATTTCTAATCATTTAAGTCTTTCATCTTTTTAAATAGGTGTTCCTGTGTTTTCAAGGAATTGCAGCTAACCTTGTTGACGTCAAATTAAACAGAGCAGAAATAGAACAATTACAGGTGATACTCCTAATTATTTACACACACACACACACATAAAAGTTCAACATTTTTGTTGTTGCATAATGGGAAGACTGCTACACACTATATCATTTTTCTTCAGACATATAGAATCACATATTAAAATGTTATCCTATGTTGGAGTCCTTAGATCAGGTAACCAAGTTCAATAATATATAGCTGAATATTTGGAATATCAGGAAACCTGGCCACTTTGTTTCAGACCTTCACAAAAACATAACTTGGTGACACCCTAGTTTATACTTTAAAATAGAATTAGCAAAGGTGGGACAAAATGAAATGTGAATGACAAAAATTAAAATATTTTTTTAATTACTTTAAATAATTAAGTTGAATTATAGAATTGTCCTGCAGTGAGTTGTCCCACAGTGAATTGGCCATGATGAGTTGCCTCATTCCGAAATGGGGCGGTCTTTTGCCTTCATTCCATTTGCATTCCTGGGTGAAATAAGATTTAGGGTTATCAAACATTTTCCAGAGGTGGGATTCAGCCGATTCAGGCCGGTTCGGGTGAACCATTTGTTACAATTCTGTCCAGTTCAGTGAACCGGCTAATCCCATCACTGGCTGGCCCTGGCTGGTTTTTGAGCCTTTTCGGGGCAAAAAATGGCCCCAAAATGGCTAAAAAACAAGCCAAAAAATGAAGATTTTAAATCTTCAATTTTGGCCATTTTTTGGGCTGTTTTTTGGGTGTTTTTGTTCTGTTTTGGGGCTGTTTTTAGCCATTTCCTGGGATGCTTTAGGTCCTTTTTCAGCCAAAAAAAAAAAAAAACAGACTGAAAATGGCTGGAAAAAGGCACGAAAACTGCCGAAAAACATGCTGAAAAATGAAGTTTTCAAAAAATGGCCACAAAATGGCCTGAAAATGTCTGAAAAACAGGCAGAAAAAATGAAGATTTCAAATCTTCAATTTTGGCTGTCTTTTGGACTGGTTTTGGGCTGTTTTGGGCCATTTTTAGGCCTTTTTGAGCCCTTTTCTGGGTGTAAAACAGCCCGAAACATGGCCAAAAAACAGGCCAAAAATGAAGATTTCAAATTGTCAATTTCCTCTCTTGAAGCTGTACAAGAATCTGGATCTGAAAGGAGAAGAGGAATTCATAGCTTTTGTGGGCACACACCTCAGACCTTTCAATACCTCACATCCATGGTGCTTTTTCCTGCCTCACTGCAGAAATCTTTGAAACATTTGCTGGCAAACACAAAGTGAGCCTTTAGCCCAAAGCACATTTCCCCCTTCTGAATTCGGTTTATTACACAACCATATGAATAAAAGTATAAAATCGCACTACTAAGCACAGTAACACCTGGACAAAACTTTGTGAAAAAAATTATATCAAATTTCCCGTAAGTTCCCATGCCCCATATGTAGATTATGTTGAACAAATGTAATGTGTTTGGGTTGATTTAAAGTCAAGATGTGAAAATAAGAAATACAAGAAAACTTCATCAAAAACTTGAATTGCCATAATGTTGTCTTCCTAAAGCCCCCTCCTTCCTTCTTTGCTCCAATTACAATGTCTCTACTAATAAACCTTACATCCAGTTTTAGAACCTATTCTGAGAAAATAAACTTGAAAGGGTCAAAAATCCCTCTACCCACTTGGATCTTTTCCTCATATCGGTACATCTCTTTGCAAAACAGGTTGTGCTTTAAAACACCCATCTAGCACATTTAGTTGGGACAACAAGCAGATTCTCTGGAAAGAAATGAGGGAGGAAAACCAAGAGACACCCCCCGCCCCCCAAAAGTACTCAATTGGGTAGGGTAGGGAAGGAATCTTAAGTATCAGTGTAAAAGTCCCTTTTTTCCAGTGATAACAGTTCTAGGATCAATAATAATGTCCGTCCATGTATCTCTCCTGCTCAGCTTTTCTTCATTATATGACTATTCCAAAGACAGAGGACAGTTTTATGATTGAGAGAACTTTGTGCCTATTTTTAGGGCCCCATACTATAAATACAGAAAATGGAGGACAATTCTTGTGATTGAGATAACTTTGTGTCTATTTTTAGGGCCAGAATGATCACAGCTCAATGACAGAGCATAGATATTGTACATTCAGGCAAGCAGAGCTGAGGAAAACTTACAGTATGTTGAGATCATTGCAAACTTCTTCTCATAAATTATGATCCATGAAGGTGGGGAGATTAGTGATCCTTAGATGTTTTTCTGTATTCTGTGTATAAAGCATGTTTCTATTAGATTCTTCCCTCATAGATATGCTGCTCAGGATAATCTGTAATATTTTTTTTAAAAGGAGACCAAACCACAGATCCCTAAAAAGGATCTCGATTCGCTCATTTTTGACAGGGTTTTTCAAACTTGCAATCCTAAAATATGTGGACTTCCAAAATTGCCCAGACAGCATTCTGGAAGTTGGTCTACACATCTTAAAAGTTGCCGAATTTGAAAAACACTGATCTCTCAGAACATGTAGCTCAGGGGGATCCAACCTTGGCAACTTTAAGACTTGTTGACTTCAAAACGGGCTGAAAAACAGGTGGGGGCGGGACCAGCCGGTGGTGGGATTAGCCCAAACCAGCTGAATCTGCCTTTGAGGCGAGTGGCTGGGAGGCGGGGCTGGGTGTGATGAGTGATGTCGAGTTGGCCACACCCACCCAGTCACATGACCACCATCATTGCTTGATTATCTTTTCCAGAATCTTCCCTGTATTGATGTCAGCTGATAAGTCTATAGTTTCCAGGATCTTTATTTATTTATTTATTTTAAGATGGGAACTAGCTCAGCCCTTTTGCAGTCCTCTGGTAATTCCCTGGTGCTCCAGGATCTTTGAAAGATCTGGTTCAGTGGTTCTGAGATCACATTACCATTTCCTTCAGAATCTTGTGGTGGAATCCATCTGGTCCTGGTGATTTGAACTTTGATAGGTTGGACTGTTTTTTCCTTTTGTGTAAAGACAGATGCAAAAACCGAATTAAACAGTTTTGTTTTCTCCCTGTTGCTCTTCACTTTCTTGCCATTTTTCTACCATTAATGGACCAATTGTTTCCTTGACCTTTTTCTTTTTTTTACACGTTGAAATAAGCTTTTGCTGTTGTTATTTTTTTTACTTTTGTCGCAAATGTAAAAAATAAGCTTTAGTTCATTTTGAGCCTTAGCTTTTCTGACTTCCTTTTTGCAGACTCAGGCCATATGCTGATATTCTGCCTTAGTTATGTGCAGTGGTGGTATTCAGCCGGTTCGCACCGCATCGGGCGAACCGGTAGCAAGAATTTGGCATGGGTCACCAAACCGGTAGTAAGTTCTGGCTGGCCACACCCCCGATCTGGTCACCATGCTCGCTTACCCGCCCACCTGACATCCGCCTAAGGTATTTTTTTTCCCTTGCGACAATCAGCTGTGCATCGATCAGCTGTCCCAGGAAGGCAAAAAATGGAGGGGGGGGGCTCACAGAGCCCCAGAGGAGCTTTAGGGGAGCAAAGACCACCCCCCTGAGGCTCCTTTGAGGCTAGGAAGCTCCCCAAAATGGGTGGGGGTGGCAAAAAAGCAAAAAAAAAAAAGCGCCACACCCACCCAGTCACATGGCCACGCCCAGCAAGCCACGTCCACAGAACCGGTAGTGTTAAATTTTGAATCCCACCACTGGTTATGTGCCCTTCTTTCCACTTTCTATATCTGTCCTTCTTTCTTTCAATTTATCAGAACATTCTTTGTGCAGCCACGCTGGTTTCTTTCGAGAGTTGTTATTTTTCTTCTTCACTGGAATTGTGCTAGATTGGGCTTCCATAATCTCCCTATTCAGAATTTCCCAAACTTCTTGAGTTGGTTTCCCCTTGAGAATTCTCATCCATGGAATCTTTCCTAAGCTCTCCCTTATTGAAATCGGCTTTCTTGAAGTCCAAGATTTTGTTCTATTGCTTGTTGAATTCCAATATTTCATGATTACTACCCACCAAGATTTCTCTAAGTTCAACATCTTCCTGTCATTGCATCTCTGTTAGTGAAAATTAAGTCCAATATGATTAACTCCCTAATTCTCTTCTCTACTTTTTGTGAGACAAAGTTGCCTGCTAGGTTTGTCCGGAACCTGTTTGATTTTCCACTTGGTGCAGTTTGTCTCCCAGTTGTTATCAGGCTAGCTAAAGTCCCCCATTACTATTGCGATTTACTTCTTACATACATAGTTAACTGATTAGCAAAGAATTCATCTATACACTTATGGCAATGTAATTTCCCCCCCTTTTATATTGATCCAAATAGTTTTCATCATTGTTCTGTCGTATCTCTGTAGATATGTAATTATTTCTTATATATGGTGCAATTCCACCTCCTCTTTTATTGGCTCTATTTCTTTTAAATAATTTAAAATCCCTCTAGCTGTATATTCCATTCATGGATTTCATCCCACCAAGTTTCTATAGTAGCAACGATGTCATATCTGCCCTTGTGTACTTGAAGCTCTAGTTCACCCTGTTTATTCCTCGTACTTTGTGCATTGGTGTATAAACATTTGACTTCTTTTTGACTGATCCCGTCTCAAAACATAACCTGTTTTGTGTCTGTGTTCCCCTGCTTCCTTACTACCTATTTGATTAGTGTATATTAGTACTCACAAATAGTGTAAAGAAAAAATGCTTGAGAAACTGACAAATTTTATGGGCTAGAACCTCTTAATTGGAATAAAAAATCCAAGACTTAAGAATTAGTATACTGTCACTATTGCTTATGTATAAAAGCATTCAAGATGCTCTTATTTTGTCTTTTGTTAAAGTCCTTATGCATGTTTACTGAGAGAAAAGTACTGCAGCATGTCTGACTTGTTTCAATGTCCTACATTTCATGGCATGATCATTATTGTGAAATGTTTTATTAGCACTTTGAAACAGTTTTTCCCGCCCCCTTTGGATTCACTTGCTGTAACCTCTTCTGTTTTTCTTTTCTTCTCTTTTGACAGAATGTGGTGAAGGCGGATATTGTAAACTATAGCCAGGAGCCTGCAACAAGAACTGTTAATTCTCCCCGGAGCTCAATGTGTACAATTCAGTGAGCATTTTCCTTTTTTTGTACAGTGCTCCTTTCGCTGCCTTCGCCCAGCAATGGAGTTGCCGGGAATGTTGCTTTAACAGGGAACGTGACTGTAGTGCATTTAGAAGTTTAAAAATCCTACTACCCAGGTGGCTTCCTTGAATAGCCAAGATTCAAATAGTGGGGTCACACACTTTGAAAATATATATATTCTTCTTAATTATATTTCAGTAAAGTGATTGTGTGTAGAGATATATTAAATATATTGTCAGAAAGTTTGAAGGGTGAATGCAACATGTAAATTAAATAGGATGAGAAGAGATTGTGAAATAAAGGAAAATGCAGTAAAAATAGATTGGCTTTATCTCTTTGAATATATCCATTTTGTCCTTTTTCTTATTAGGACCAGGAGAGCGATTCTTTCTTTAATCCTTCCTTTAACTTATTTATTTAGTCTTTATCTCCAAATATAAAATACAAACCAAAGAAAAAGAAAGAAAAAACAAACTAACAAACATCTGACACCAACAAAAGCAAAAGCAAAAAACCATGTGTACAAAAAAAGAAAGAAAAAAACCCAATATTAAATACACCTAACTTTTTTGTCTTTTAAACTTTTTTGTTTAAAAAGTGGCTGAATGCTGAAAGATGCATTAAAAAACTAATATGTTCTCCTCCCCTGACATAGGCCTACAAATAGTTATAAACTTTCCCATCTATATTTAACAACAACGCTATATTCCGTAAGCAATTTTCCTGGATATGGAAATCAATTTGCCTAATATCAAATCGAACCAACATCTGTTCGCAAGATATAAAGGTAAAGACTCCCCTTGCGCATACGTGCTAGTCGTTTCTGGCTCTGGGGGGCAGTGCTTATCTCTGTTACAAAGCCAAAGAGCCAGCACGATCTCCGTGGTCATGTGGCCAGCATGACTAAATGCCAAAGGCACTTGGAACACAGTTATCTTTCCACCACACTGGTCCCTATTTTTCCATTTCCATTTTTACATGTTTTCGAAGTGCTAGGTTGGCCGAAGCTGAGACAAATAACGGGAGCTCACTCTATTACGCGGTGCTAGGGAATTGAACCGCTGAACTGCCGACCTTTCTGATTGATAAGCTCAGCATATAAACTTGTCTAATCTACTGTCTCTAATCAAAGCAGTTTATTTTGCCATCTCCGCTAATTTAATCCATTTTAAAATCCTCTCTTTGACAGTAAACCCCCTTTCCTTCCAATGCTTAGCACAAACAAGCCTCACAGTGGTCACCATGTAAAAAAATAATTGTCCCAAACTGTTTTTCGATTGGTTTGTCCATGATACCTAGAAGAAAGGCTTCAGGTTTCATTAATATTTATGTTTTAAGCATTTCTGCATTGTCATTATTATATTTATCCAATATAATTTAGTATACTTACAAGATCACTACATGCGATAAAATGTACCTGGATTTTGGTTGCATTTTTGTGGAGTCAAATATCAGCGGTACATCTATATATATAAAAACAAAATACCATTCACACATCATCACAAAATCTCCAGAACCGTAAAGTCTATAAACTTGAAATTTGTTCCTCTTGACTTCTAGGTCCTCATTAAGAAAGGATTTTTCGAAATGACCACCAGAGCATTAGTATTTCATATATTATTATTAACACGCTCTGATGCTAAGGAGTTCTACTACCCTCCCCATCCGAAAAGAAATCTGTTCCAAATGCAAAACACAAGCAGAGGAGAGGAGTTTCAATTTCAGTTTTAGTTTCACAGCAGCAACCAGCCTTAGTTCAGAACAGTTGAGCTAAGCCACGCCCAGGCTCCTTGCTGTCTCTTTCTTGCTCACACAGCAAATATTACTTCAGTTTCCAAACAGCCCTCAACTCTCTCACATGCTGACAGGATGCTAGCCAGATGAATACCAATGGATGCTGGTAGGCAGAGGTAGAATTTGTTTTTCCTTATTTTCTTCCTCCCAAACGAAGCCTGACCACATAGTTTTGTAGCAAAGCATGGGTATCGACTATCGAGCTAGTAATTTTATAAAGTTTTCTTTTAAATGTAGTTCAAAGTAAATGTTAAACCACTGGTCCATACATTCTCCTACTGGTCTAGCATTATGTTGTAACCAAATGTTTTTGCTTTTTTTATCATAAAAACTTTTTAACATATTCACCTTCCAGATTCAACTTAAATAACATTTTAGATTCTCATTTTAATCTTTGTGGTTTTTAATATTGGATATCTTTTAGGACCAGCTATTTTCAATCATGTATTCATCGGGTTATCCTGAAAAAAAATAAAGTGTCTTTTACTTCTAGCATTTTTATTCATAAAACAGTTTTGAAAGGGAAAAATGATTAAAAATCTCATTAAACTGGATTGTGTTTATGTACTTGTTAAAATAGAAGAAACAATCATTTTTTGCTTCTTTTGGTTTTTCCCACTTTAAAGTACTTCACCATAAAATTACTGCTAACATTTGTATTTACAAAAATCAGAATATATACCGATTTCTAGTCAATTGATGGAGAGAGAAGTTTCTGTTGGTGTTTGGCTATTAAGAGCTATAGTAAATCAGGACAACTTTAGTGGTGGAATACCAGTAAATGTCCTATCCGTATCCAAACCATTGTAGAGCTCTGTCTTTGGCCACTTTACTGTCTTGCCCACCGCAGCCTTGGAGGGGCCCAAGACTCCAGCCCAGAGCTTTTCCGACTCTTCTGCAGAGTCACAGAGTTTCCTGAGAACTTTAGCTTTCTTGAAAGACAAAGGCAGCCTCCACCCCGCAAAAGTCACTTGAATGCACCTGACTGCAGCCTGTCACCTAGAACTTTGTCTTTTGATAAGGAATTTCTGGATTCTTTTTAAAATATCTAACTTCTAAAGCTGGGTTTTCAAAAGGTTAGAGAACCCAGCTCTAGCCTACCTGTTCTAATACTGTCCTTTCTACAGCAACTCACAATCTAACTTTATAAGTCAATTGCTAAAAAGTTTCATTTGTTCTGAGGATGATGTTATTCGTTTATTATTGGACTGCAACCATAACATCCCCCCAAAAGCGGCAAAATTTCTTACAATTGATTCATGTTTAATTTTATAGTTGTGGAATTATGAAAAGTTCTTAAAATTCTGGGACATATTCAGAGATGCATCTGCATTGCAAGTAGCTCAGGTTGAACTGTATTGCCTAGTTAAAGGCTACAGAAACAAGTTTTGGTAATGTATAGATATCAGGATGTTTATCAAATAAACATTAGGTCACTTTGAGCAGATATCTCATAACTGTTCCTTCTGAAAGTGCTTTCCAGCAGTCAGTTTGGGAGAAACATATTTTTATAACTGGGGAGTGAGAGTTTGCTCCCCATTAGGTCAGTTTGATTTTCCATGGGCTATGAGGCCACAGAGGCTCTCAAAACAGGTAGATACTAAATCACTGGTGGACAGAAATATTGGATTAATTTAATCTCAGAGCACTAACTTCCAAAGTTTATTTAGCTGGCGTGGTGAAAACATGTATACAGTGCCAAATACAATTTTGGAATTTCTGCATACATAAGCATTAACTTAGAAATCATACACTTAGACATCAATTGTTCCGTTAGTACAAAAAAATAACCGATTATTTTGGTGAAAAGATTCTCACTTTAAAAAATAATTTCTATTTTTATATCATATTAAGTCATGGGTTTTATTTTGAAAGCCTCCTCTGACATTTCCAAATGGGTTAATGACTTTTTAAACTATATTTCCCAGGATTTGACCAAACACTTCAGTAGAAATCTAATCAAGGCAGAATATACTTCTGTTACTGCCTTTCAACTCTTACGCCACCCTGCAAAGAGACAGGACCTGTTTGGTTGGTTTACCCCGGAGGATTGATGGACCCAGTGGCGTTCCAGAGAGAACTGGGGGTTTTCCCTGAGGAACTGGTAAAGAATATGTCCTACATTTGTACAGTCCCATTCAAGTCAAAAACTGACTCCCCCCACAACTGAAAAACCAGTGGGCCGGGGATGGGGAACCTTTTATGGCTCACTCAGGAATTCTGGGAGTTGAAGTCCATAAGTGATAAAAGAGCCAAGTTTCCCTCCCCGTGACTTAAGTATCATAAAGAATTCTAAATAACAATAAGGAAGAGAAAAATAAACCAGTATAACAAATTGAGAATAAACAATTTGAAATAAAGAGTCAATAGAGAGACAATAGATAATGAGAAGAAGGCAAAAAGGAGAGAGGCCTGCTCCAGTGACATGGAGGCATAACCATCAGGAGAAAAGTTGAAGCAGTGGCAATATAATCAAGAGGCATATGTTCAGAAATCTCATCACAGGATGACAACTACAACGAGATTGCAAATTGTAATACGTACAACTTAATCACAAAAAATAACAGCATAAAAACAACATAGTTATGAAACACCAGACTAACCAGTTGGTTGAAAACTCCTTTTTTTTATTAAACAAAACTTACCTTCCTGTAGGGTGTTGTTAATGGCGGAAGCAAGCACTACTGCCAAACTGGGACCACATAATAATACAGGAAACTAAATCTTACTTTAAGAATCACACTTCCTTGGGAATGACCCAGACTGAGGGAGAGACCCTCCTTCAATACAATACGAGAGAGGGATCATCTCTAAGGGGAGACCGTATTCCACCAGGCTCCAGCCACAGTGGGATGCCCCTTGGATTGTTTTGCCAGTGAAATATGCCGGGTGAGACACGGACCTGTGCCGTATGCAAGCCCAGGTGTGACCCTTATCTTGCAGCCGAATTTTGGGACAGATCCCACCCTCTTTATCTAAAAATTATCTAACTACCTTTTGTCCATGAGAGGACCAACTGGCTTACCTCTGATTCAAGGTGAATGGTTTTTATGAAAGTGGGCCGATGATCTGAGGGTCCAAACCAAGAAGCCGGTATTCGGGACTTTATGGCAAAGGAATGGATGGCCTCACTTACCATTGGATCCTCTTTGGTGGCCTCGCTGCTCTCGTTGGTGGTGCCTAGAGGGGGTTCCGGAGCTGGAGAGGAACCTCAACAGTCTGGCGTGCGAGTTTTCTTTTGGGTGAGTTTTCTTTATTTTAGAACTCACTGAGTCTGGGCTTGAGGAATGGGGGCCGGTGTCAGGCACACTGACCACAGGTGGGATTCAGCCAATTGTCACCAGTTTGCCCAGTTAATTGCTTAAATCAAGTTAATAAACAACAGAACCTGACAGGATTAGGGCAGGGAAACCCATCAATCACCCCTCTAGGGGTGGGATTAACCTCTTCCCTTCAGGAAGAAGGACAAGATTACAAATATTTTCATTATAAAGAGTATTAAGTAACACTTCTGTGATCAGCTGATACTCCCTGGAGTTCCCCAAGATCTTTTATACCTGCTGCAGTATTGGCTACTTCTTGTTTCTTCCTTGTGGGGGAA